TTTTTATATTCCTTAGGATTTCCTCTATAGGTGATCATGACATCTGCAGATAAAAGTAATTTTACTTCTTCCTTTCCAGTGTTTATGTCTTTTATTACTTTTTCTTGCGTTATTGCACTGGCTGGGATACGTGATACAATGTTGAGTAGAAGTAGTGAGAGTGGACGTTCTTGCTTTTTTTCTTCTAGCAGAAGGAAAACATTCAGTTCTTTCCCACTAAGTATGATGTTAGTTGTATGCTTTATGTAGATGACTTTTATTAGATTAAGGAAGGTTCCTTCTATTCCTCTTTGCTGAGAGGTCTTACCATGAATGGGCATTGAATTTTGTCTAATGCTTTTTCTGCATCTACTGAGATGTTCTTATGATTTTCCTCCTTTATTCTGTTAATGTAAATTACATTAATTGATGTTTGAATGTTAAACCAACTCTGCATTCGTAAGATTAAAATTCCACTGGATTCTTTTTTATGTGTTGTTGGATTTGATTGGTTAATATTTTATTAAGGATTTTGGCATCTATGTTAATGAAAGATTTTAGTCCTTTTGTTTCTTATATTGTCCTTGTCTAGTTTTATTGTCATTGTTATGTTGTTACATAGAATGAATTGGGAAGTATTTCCCTCTCCTCTGTTTCCTGAAAGAATTTGTATAGGATTGATTTTATTTCTCTTTGAATGTTTGTTAGAAATCAACAGTGAGGCCAACAGGGCCTGGAGTTTTCATGGAAAGATTTTAATATATAAATTCAGTTTCCTTAAATTTATTCAATAAACATAGAGATATTCAGATTTGCTCTTTCTCTTTGTGTCAATTTTGGTAATTTACCTCTTTAAAGGAATTCATTCATTTCATCTAAGTTGCTGATTTTATTGGCATAAAATCGTTTAACATATTTCCTTATTATCATTTTAAAGCTGGTGGGATCTATGCTGATGTTTCCTTTATTATTGGTAATTTGTGTTTTCTCTCTTTTTTTTTCCTTGATAAGTCTAAATAGGGGTTTATCAATTTTGCTAAACTTTACATAGAACCAGCTTTTGGTTTTATTGATTATTTCTATTGTTTGTTTTCTACTTTATGGAGTTATATTCTTATCTTTATTATTTCTTCCTTCTATTTATTTTGGGTTTAATTTGCTCTTCTTTTTCTAGCTTCT